TGTAAGTTTTTATGGGCACATCTTTCTTTTCAATTAATGTGCCTTTTGATTTAGTCATTGGCATGGGAAGTAAAGAATAAAGATTGATGGATGGTCAGCTGGCAGGGATGTTTATGATGCAATGCTATTTATTTGGATTTAATAGAACTGCTTAAAATACCATATATAGGGACAGGTTGCCCCACTGAAAAAATTATTCACCTGGTTCGTTTGGAGGTGACATGCATCTTTGTATTGTTTTCATCGTAATTTTATTGCTTTACCTCTTCATTACTTATAGTTTCTTGAAAGTAATTTTCATATAAAAATTTCAGATATTTAAATTTGGCACTAAAGATGGGAAGCCAGCTGATAATTTGTTAAGAAAACACTCGTACATTCTGCAACCAGTGACTGGGAAAGCAAAGTACTCCAAGCTTCTGCCAAATGAAGTTGCTGATAGCAAAAACCCCTTACAGAAGGCTGTGGTTAACTTGGACGATGTTACAATTAGCATATCTAAGGTTCATTTGATGTTTCTTTTTTTGTTTTTTCTTGTCCCGGGAGATTGTGTTTATTTTTGGAGATAATCTTTGCTTTTTTTTCTTTGTAGGATGGCTATGGTGATATCATGAAATTAGCAGACAACTTTGCTGCATTTAATCAACGTCTAAAGTATGCTCATTATCGTCCACTGGTGCCAGTAAAAGCTGATTCCAGGTCTTGGTGGAAATATGCTTACAGAGCTGTATCTGACCAGATAAAGAAGGCAAGGTATTTGACTGCAATCCGATTCTGTTCAATCTTTTGCCAAGCTAAATTTTGTAGATATTAATTACAGTAGATAGGTAGTGTAACTTGCACGGCTAACCCCAATTTGACAGCCTAATTTATTAAAAGCTAGTGGCTAATTAATATGTTAAAATTTACATCTTTTTTTAATTAAAAGGAAAAAGAATGCTATTGCATCATTATAAGGGTTGCAATCCTAACCAGGTTAGAACTACAACCTGTATGAATCATATGCAGCATTCTTAATTCAATTAGAAGATAAAAAGAAATAAAAAAGTGCGGGACCAAATAAAACCCAAATAAGAGAATCTAAAATGTGGGAGACCACATCTATCTCTACAAAAATTAGAGACAATACAAAGAGGCACTCGATCCCACCAAGTAAAACTTGATGTTCTAAGACCATAAGCAGCTCGACTTCAACTATCTGCACACTTATTTTCCTCTCTAAAAATATATGAAATTCTAAATTTTGTATCCTTAAAGACTCCAAAATATTATTCCGTTTACTCCTTAACTTTCAAGGAACTAAAGAACTACTAGAAAAAGCTTTCACAATAAATAAAGAATCTGTCTCCACCCAAATAGCTTTCCAATATTGATATCAATAGTCTGAATAACGCCTAGGAGTTCGGCTTCAAAAGCTGAATCTGCTTGTATTCCTAAAAATTTCCCCACAAGTTACTTTGTTGCCGTAACTAATGTAAGGTCCTTGTGTAAGTAATGTTAGTATTGACATCTATGTACCCTGTTCCTCAAAACTTCCATTATAGAGTATCCATGCTTAATATGCATATCTTTGATCTTTCATCAAATTATTTTATGAGTATCTTTCTTTAAATTGAAACTCTCAACTACGATACTTTATATTTTGGAGAGTGTTGTCAAAGGAGTTAAAAAGTGTGCCTGAATTGCCAAGATGGGATGAATGTGTTGCATAATAGTAAGGATTATGTAGAAAAACAGTGTTTAACAGTGACTCTGATATACTAATATTTTGGAAGAATAGTACAATAAAGAGGTTTGGGATTTATGATTAACCAAGGATTGACCAGTCAAATTTGATGCATCACAATTTTGAAACAGGATCTCTCAAATAAGGAAATGAAATATTCGCACTGATTAGGATGATAAAACTTATCAACCCAAATGAGGGAAATTGAAGTTTATGACTATTATAAGGTCTAAGATGGGGAAAACAAGAACACCCAAAGGTTTTGAGACATTGATAACCAGGGAATAGATGAAACAGTTTTTGGTAAGGTATTTGAGAATTAAGTAATGTAGTAGGTAGGTGGTTTATGATGTAAACACTTGTTAAGATGGTATCAAAGCTGATCCAAGATCCATTCACCATGTTATCCACTTACAAGTCTAATAGTGCTGAATGTGATGGAATGTATTGGGAAATATCCAAGATCCACATCGATTAGAGATAATGCCAAAAATACAGTTTATAAGTGGTGGAAATCCTCACCTTTCAAGCTAGTTTTATAGGGTTGAGTTAGACATACTACTTTATAAGTAGTGTTTATAAAGCTTGGATAATACTTATCTTACAATCTGATTTTGTGAAGTTGAGTTAGGTCCTAATTTTAAATTTGAGGATTAACAACTCTTGAAAGGAAGAAAAACATCACTCACTACTGAATCATTTGATAACTTTTTAAAATTTTTGTAGTCTTTATTATTATTATTTTTTTTTTGTAGTGGCTAAGTTTCTGGCTGGTCTATAGGCTTACCCTCATTATTTTTTGTCCGATGGATTACTATATTTGTGTCACTGGGTGTTTGTTCTGGTTGATAATCGTTCGATTATCTTACTAATATTACAAGAGTTTCACTCATTACTGATTGGTGGTCATGTTGGGTTTTTGCATACACATGTGCACATTTCTGTGTTCTTTTCATGGCAAGGGGTGAGAAATGATGTCCGTTCGTGCTTGTGAACGTGCCAAGCATGTCCAAACATTACCTGTTGGGTTGTGAAGCCCTCTACCTATTGTTTCCGATAGGGATAAGGTGTTTACTAATTTTTTTTGGCAGCACCTCTTTAAGCCTCAAGGTACTTCATTGAAGATGAGCTTGGCCTATCATCCTCAAACGGGTGGTCTTGAAGTGTATTTGTGTTGCTTTATATCTGATCATCCAAAATATTGGGTATTCTTCCTTCCCTGGGCAGAATTTCGGTATAATTCTTCTTTAGACATCTCTATGGGAATGACACCTTTTAAGGTTTTTTGTGGTTGAGATCCTCCTCCAATCATTCCAGCCTCTGTTAATACCCTGGGACCTTCAACAACAATTGTAGCAATGTGACTTGCTTTTAGTTACTCTCAAGAACAATCTTCTCAAGGCACTGTACTGAGTTGCAGTTTTCTGTAGGTGATTGTCTTTGTCAAGTTTCAATTATATCGTCAACACTTGGTTTGATTGTACAATCATAAATTAGTTATGTACTTCATCGGCCCTTCCAAATCTTGTCTTGGCTAGGATCTGTGGCTTATAGTTTAGAACTCCCTACACATGCAAAAATTCATCTGCCCTTCCATGTTTCATTGCTCAAATCATGTTGTGATGATTCTTCAGCTTAGATTTTTCCTTTACCCTTGTAGCAACTTGTCAACCTTGTGAACAAGGTATGTCTTGATGGGGAGGGTAATGTTATATCCCACGAGGATGGATATCCCTGGGACAGTTGGCAGCCCACAATGATGAAGTGCATTTGACACCAAAGTTTGTTAGGTGCAATAAGTGGGTGGTTACCGGTATGTTTCAAAGATTGAGGATAGTATATATTGGGAAAGGGAGTGAGAAAGGGGGGTCGAATATTGAGATTTCTCTCTATTCTCTCATTCCTTTTGGATTGTTCCTTCTTTCTCTCTGCTGCTTCTGTATCTCTTCTCCTGTGCTTAGTCTTTGTGACTGATTTTGGTTCCCAGTACTTCAATAATACTTTCAAGAGGGTATTTCATCATTATAATTTTTATTTATGTGAATTTTCATATCTGAGTTGACAAAATTTCATATGAGCCCTTTATGTTGCAATATATATATATATATATATATATATATATATATATATATATATATATATATATATATATATCTGTGTTTTATTTTCTGTTGTGATCATAGAGTGCAATAACGTATTCTGTTTTCTGTTTGTTACATATGCACATTGTACAAACACTCTACTTTTCGTATTCTGAAAGGAGGGACAGGAACTCTGTTTTTTGCATTTGACTATGTCATATTTCCTGATTTCCTCAACTCGGTTTAAACAACTCCATAAAGAGAATATAAGTAAATAATGTCATTGTTTGGTTTATTGCCCTTCCTATCTAAACTCTTCCTTTCTAAATGAAACGAAGATGCCCCAATTATTGAAGTCATACCATAAATAAGACTTAACAAATACCAACATGTTTAATCCATTATACTTAGTGCACGATGACTGTTTGTGCTTAGTTTTGACTGCGTAAGGTCACTGCATATGCTTCTTATATGTGAACATAGCAAATGTGTGAATGGGAATGATAAGTGAACATGAATGCATATTTCCTTGTAGGGGGAGTAAATAAGAAAGAGTGAAGGGGTATACTATCTTTTGTTTACTGTCCATACTTAAAACGATAAGAATGGCTGAAGTCTAAGAAATTGGGGAAATCTATTGATACTTCGTTTTAGGTACCGAACAAATTTATGATGGACAAGATGAAGCACCATCTTTATACATTTCTGTCATTTGTTTTGCCATTCCAAAACTCTGTACTTGGTCTTGGAATAGTTGGCCAGATTAGGAAGATGTTTTGGGTGCATGTAATCTGGACTTTTCTTGGATTAGTTCATGCATCAAACTTCTTGGATTGCATTTTCATTTTTTTGCATCTTATAGTGTTTTTCAAATTTTTGACGGTTAGTTTCTCAAGCAATATTAGGAATATGCAGTTCTAAAATTTTCGCTGACCTCTCTTCCATCTATTTCTCGACCTTAATCTTCATTCAGACTTTGTAACTACAAATTTAGAGGGCGTTTAGCTTGTTATATTCTCACCAAACCAACACCCTCCTAAGCTTGCTGGTTCGATGTTGAGATTGTTGTACATGCATTTTGGATAATAATACCACAGATTTGTGGTATCTATGGCGATAGTTGATATTTTTTTGTCATGTTTTAATTTTTGTATTTCATTGACCATGGATATTGTGCTTCTGTCAGTGGAAAAATGTCATGGGAACAAGTTTTAAGATATGCCAGCTTGAGGAAGAGATATATCTCTTTGTATGCTTCACTACTTAAATCTGACCCCACTCAGGTGACAATTAGTGGCAACAAAGAGATTGAAGACCTAGATCGGGAACTTGATATTGAACTCATATTGCAATGGAGGTACGTTGTTTGTTTTTATATGTTAGTATTTTACATTAATATTGTATTAGTCATATGAAAAAACAAGGGTATGTAAACCTAAATTGATTCAACAATAGTATCATAACCATAGTTAGTGTACATTCTGTATACATTTTAAAATTTTTAATGAATCATATGTTAACAATTAGTAAAATCATCTTTTCTATTTGCATTGCCATTTGAATAAAAATAACGACTTCCTGATATGCTAAAATTGACTTTACTTAATTCAAGCAAGCAAGCTCTCTTTTTGACTTAGTACATTGACTTTACTTCAAGCAAGCAAGCAAGCTCTCTGCATTATTATAAAGAAAGATCTCTATATGCTTCTTTTTATTCATTGTATGGGCATCAGATATTGCTTGCTTCCTTCACATGCGTTATTGTTTTATTACTTTAATCCTTGGATGTTTTCAATTCCATAATTTCTTTCATTTTTAATCAAAGAAAAGAAATTATGTAATTGAAATAACTCAGTCAGAACTCCCTTTGTTTAAGCCCATGGAATAAATGTTTAGCTGCTTGTGAATCTTCGGGTACATTCTTATTCAATGTTTGGTGAATTACTCTTTTACCAACAAATGCAATATAAGCATTTGGTTTGGTAATAATTATATTCCCCAACATGCCAAAACTAGCTGTCAATCGGACAATCCACATATTTGGTTCAATCGGATGATTTATGCATGTATATGTTACACAGATATAATACAACTTGGAACTCTCTTGTTTATTCTTCGACCTTGAAGTATTATATTTTACTGTCTTTGCAGAATGTTGGCTCACAAGTTTGTGGAGCAATCAGCAGAGTCAAACCATAACATGAGGAAACAGAAAGCTCAAAAATCTTGGTGGTCATTTGGATGGTGAACACTTGTCGTAAAATATATCTTGTACCAGTAACTAAGTAATGGATTTTATTTTAGTTTTATTGTGTTGCTCACCTATGATCATGCTACAGGACTAGTGAATCTCCTAAAGAGGAAAGTGAGGAATTTAGGTTCAGTGAAGAGGACTGGAACCAGTTGAATAAAATAATAGGATATAAGGAGGGTGATGATGGACAATTGGCTGTAAATAGCAAGGAGGATGTTATCCATACTTTTCTGGAAGTTCACATGAATCATAATGCTTCAAAGCTTATCGGGGAAACCAAAGAGTCTGTTGCTGAATTATCATGTGAAGACCTCAGTTGCTCAATAAAACTTTATCCAGAAACAAAGGTCTTTGACATTAAGTTGGGCTCCTATAAGTTATCATCACCAAAAGGTCTCCTTGCAGAGGTTGTACTGTCATTGATGTTAATTTTCTGCATTTTTGAATTTTATGCTTGCATAATATAAGTTATGATATATGGAATATTTGTTCCAAATCCTTTCAGAGTGCAACTTCCTATGACTCATTAGTTGGTGTCTTCCATTACAAACCTTTCGATGACAAGGTGGACTGGAGGATGGTTGCCAAAGCATCTCCATGTTACATGACTGTATGATGTTTTTCATTTTTTAACCCTTCCTCTGCATGATTTTTTATTTGTTCTGTTTACTTGTTTACTGATTTGTCTTTGGAGTTTGGACAGTACATGAAGGACAGCATTGATCAAATTCTGAAATTCTTTGAAAGTAATACTGCTGTAAGTCAGACCATAGCACTAGAAACTGCAGCTGCTGTTCAGGTACTATTTGACTTTACATCTCTGCTATTTGGGAACATGTTAAAATTCAGAGGTGAAATTGTATATTAACTATGATATCAGTATTAAGAAGTCTAAGAGGTGAGACTCTGTGAAAGACGTAAGCATTCTTCTCCAATCATGAACCAGAACGGCAAAATGCCAAAAACTTCAAAATGAATGCTACAGAACTTTTGCTTGCATTTTGTCAAAGTCTTGAAACTTAACCTCAGAAACTATTTGAAAATAGGACACAGCTTAGCCTCACTGGAACCCAAAACAAATTTTTAATATGAAAGGAATTGTCTTTTTGTACAAGAATAAGTTCTCTGTAGATTCTGAACTGAAAGAGCACATCATTAAATCAGAAGTTAGAGTAAGGTGATACTTACAAATTTGCATCAGATCAGTTCATTTTATTGTATGATGTACTGGTATCCAGACTCCAGTAAAATGACTCAAGATTAGAGGGATGCTTGGATATACTAATCGGTTACTTAAAAAATATCTGGTGGTTGGGGAAGTGAGGGAGGAATTGGAATGAGAATTTACAACGGAAAAAATTGATAATCTGAAGTCCAAACTCTCTTATCTGAAGTGATAGTAAGCTGGGATGAACATAGGATTGAGCAAAACCAAAATAGATTTTAGTTTACTTGCTTCCCTATATTTCAAGCTCTTATTGTACTGTCTATGTTCATCTGTTTATTTATTTATTTATTTATTTTCATTATATTTCTCTTTATTAATATATTTTCTTATGCTAAAAAGTGGAATTTATTTTTGACTTGCAAGAAAGTTCTGTTTAATCTTTTGCAAAAGCATGTTTACATTAGCTTGTATTATTGTTCCTAGATGACAATTGATGAAGTGAAGCGCACTGCACAACAGCAAATGAATAGAGCATTAAAGGATCATGCCAGGTTATCTTCTCACTGTCTTGCTCTATTATGTGTGTGAGCCATGAATAACAAACTGTCCTCTTACTCATTATACATGTGCTGATTGGATCCTCTTGAAACTGATGATGTACATAGTATGTATACGTGGTATTAGTGATTTAATCCTTCTCACAGCTGTGGTTCAATTCCATCTCTTTACTTGAAAGTAAAGAATAATCTCTGAACTTATTTCTTGATAATACAAGGGGAGATATGACATTGTTAGTGGAATTTTATCTAATCTGACTAAGGAAATACTGGGAAATGATGTCTAATAGAATCTGTACAAATCAAATATGCCCTAATTAATGGAAATTAGGGAAAAAAATTTAAACAAATTTGAACAAGAGGGGATCTATTATGTAGCTATTAAACCATCATCTAATTTCTCCTTAATAAAATGTTTGTTCATCTCTGTGTGCTTTGTTCTATCTTGTTGAACTTAGTTTTGTGAAATGCCGATGGTGGTCTTGTCACAAAGTAGCTTCATACTATAGTGTAAGGTCATCAAGAATGATCTTTATCCAAAAGCAACAAACCTTTTAAGCCATGGATAAAAGATTTGCCTCTATACTTTACCTTGCCACTACATTTTGCTCCTCCGAAAAACATGTAGCTTGAGGTGGATCTTTGATCAATAATTGCCCCTTCATAATTCAGCATGGACAATCTCTAGTGCAATTTTTGGGTTTGCCTTTAAATACTAAAGCTAGCATAACTTGATTGACCTCATTGATTGCGTAAGCTTGTCTGGCCTATACAAACTTCCCATGATCCTTTGATATTTTACTGTCTTCACTTTTGGGCTCTCATCAGTTACTCTGGGGTTGCTCGAACGGTTAGCAACCCACTTACCCAACTTAATCATTGCTTCAGGATGTAAGGCTTCTCTATTTACTTGGTTGTTTATGAAGCTGACATTGTCTTTGCAAGAAATGATTTGGCTGGTATCACCATCTTAAGTAGGACACCATTCTTAGAAAAAAAGATTTAGGCATTCTCAAATACTTTTTAGGGATTGTGATTGCTCAATCTTATAGATGTTTCCATGACTAAAGTAAGCCTGCTTCAGGCGTACTTGAAGAAACATGCATGTTGGGCTGCTGACCTAGTGATACTCCTATCATATTTGGTTGAACCATTTAGAAATTGTGCCACATTGAAACATTTGTTGATAAACACCAACGTTACAAAGACTCAAATAGACATTTGCTTTGGTGTAAATGTGATAAATCAGTTTTTTATGCTACTTGTTATTAGTTAATTTTTGTTTTTGGTGGCTAGGAATCTTTTCTTTTAAATGAGAACATTTTTTTAAAGAAAATAAGGCAATGCCCAATTTGTTGTTGGCTACTCTGATATTGATTAGTGAAAGGTCATTTATCATACGTTATTATTGTATCAATAAGAATTTGAGAAGTTGGGCGAGTACACCTTATATGGTTAAAACAATTACTTCAGTAACTCAAAATGGGAGATTTTAAAGAAATGAAAATTAATCTGCACAATTCATTATTCCTAACGTAATCTTTCCTGTAAGTACCAAACATACAGATATTGGTTGCTAGTTGTCACAGGAAAGGTTTCTTTAGGAGAGATCACTATCAGTTTTGTTTGTTGATATATTTAACAAATCCCTTGCCTTGGCTTGATTGTATAATGACAAACTTGGATCTAAATGCCTATAAGAGCTTTAGTGACATTCGATTGTGAGTGAGCAGTGGTAAAATTCCAGCATTTAGCAATGAAAAACAATTTGATGACTGTTCTTGGTTTTACTAAATAGACTATTGATATACTACATTATTATGGATTTTTTTATAGTTTGTAGCTCCAATATGTAACCATTCCTCAAACCATAGGATTTCATCTTGAGAAGCTTCTTGCTAATTCTAGTTAATTGCTTATCTGTTAGGTTTTCATTGGATTTGGATATTGCAGCTCCCAAGATTACTATTCCTACTGATTTTTGTCCAGACAATACCCATGCTACAAAGCTTTTACTAGACCTAGGGAACTTGATGATTCGTACGCAGGTAGATACTCTGATAATTTTTGTAGCCTCTTTATTTTAAATTTGTTTAATCTGTTCAAAACTGTAAAATATGCATTCAGGACAACCAACATGAGGAATCAGCTGAGGATAATATGTACCTGCGATTTGATTTGGTCTTAAGTGATGTATCAGCATTTTTGTTTGATGGGGACTATCACTGGAGCCAAGTTTCTATGAATAAGTCTGCCCATTCAACTAGCAACAGTTTCTTCCCAATTATTGACAAGTGTGGAGTCATCTTACAGCTTCAACAGGTAGAATTCTTTACTTCTAGTAGTTTCTCTTTGTAAGAAGCATTCCAACCTTTTTTCCTCATTATGGTCAGATTCGTTTAGAGACTCCATATTATCCTGCAACACGCCTTGCTGTGAGGCTTCCATCATTGGGCTTTCATTTTTCACCTGCTCGGTATCATCGGCTGATGCATGTGATAAAGATTTTTGAGGAGGACGATGGTGACAGTTCTGAGTTTCTTCATCCTTGGAATCAGGCTGATCTTGAGGGTTGGTTGTCTCTTTTAACTTGGAAGGTAGTGATCTCATTAGACCCTTTTGGTAAGCTCTATTGGCTCTATCGTTGTCCATGTAGCACTAATCTGGTAAATTACATCACGTGTCTCTTATAATGATGCATTAGGGTGTGGGAGTTAGAGAAGCTGTGTGGCAGCGGAGATACTTCTGCTTAGTTGGGCCATTTCTTTATATACTTGAAAGCCCTGAATCGAGATCTTATAAACAGTATGCCAGGTGCAAATGCCTTCCTTTTGTGTCTTGTTATCATACTATATTGCAGGATTTTTATTGGATTACATTTAAGGACTACAGTCAGTTTCTTCAGTTAGCTTTGGTATTGTCATTATAAAAGAATTGTACTCCTAACAGTATATTATTTGGGTCAGGAGTGTCTAAATTTTTTTTTTTAAAAAGTTAGAAATGTTTATACTTGTTCATTTTTCATTTTTTTGTTTCTTAATTTAAGTATAAAATAGAAACATATTTTATAATTTCATTCAGATGATTCTTCCTAATATGAAAGGGTTACTACATAAAAATTCACATGGTGGGAGGTAGTCTCTCTTGACTATGTCCAATCCAATCCTATTTATTCTTCATGGTTTGAATTACGAAGACCAATATAGGTTTGACCTAGATAAAAATCAGATCCTCATCAATCATTACATGCGTCCACTAAGGATGAGACTAAACATCCCCAATAGAGTTAGGAGTAGACATAGAGAATTGGAAAGTATAATGAAAAGAACCAAGTTAATGGTAGTTAAAATTGATATAATGAGGCAAATGGTTTACTATTAGAATGACTACCTTTTAAAGGATATTAGGCAAATCAAGGTCAAGAGGATGACCCAAATTTGGTACACATGATGATGTTGGGAAGAGTCTGGTATGAACTCTATTATAGCATCATAAACCATCATAAAAGCTGATGTGGGTGGATCATTAGGTTGAGGTCGATGTTGATATGTTTGAGGGATCCCTCAGCCAGAGGCTCCAATGTGGGAACATCTTGATTCACCTAATGAATAGATGGAAGGGGCACAAGAACAAGTGTAGAAGGAGAGAAGGTGAAAGGTAAAATGTAAAATATTAGTCTAAAATGAAATATTTTTTGAGAAGGGGAAAAGAAATGATAACCCTTGTATGATCGATGATACTATTTGAAGTAGCTAAATATATGGGCTTAGGTCCATCTTTGTACCATAATATATATAATCTTCCTTTGCTTTGTATTACATTCAAGGATTTTGTTTACATAACTCTTTACCATTTACTTTAAGATGGTATCTAAAGTGGCGGATCTTGAACATTGATCTTGAGGGGGCCAAATAATATATTATTAATAAATAATAAATATATAAATATAAAAGAAAAAAAAAGATGAAAGGGTGAAAGGATAAAATTGTAGATATATACTTAAATATATTAAATGATCATTAAGTTTGAGGGGGACAAAATAATAAATTATATGAGAGTTAGGAGGGGCCGAGAGGATAAAATTGTAAATAAACAAGTACATATATTAAATGTTCATTAAGTTTGGGGGGGCCAAAATCATAAATTACAGGGGAGTTACAAAACTTTGGGGGGCCACGACCCCCCTCAGCTCCCAAGAAGATCCGACATTGCTAAAGCCTAAACCTTCCTATGTATAATCTTCCTTTACTTTGTATTACATTCAAGGATTTTGTTTACATAACTCTTTACCATTTACTTTTAGATGGTATTTAAAGCCTACTCCTTCCTAGACCTTCCTACTGCACCGAATTTCTATTAGTCCCAATTTTTTTTTTTTTAAATCGTATTTCACCACTAGTGTCACCCCAATCGGGCAATCATAGTGTTGCCGATAGTGCGTCAACCGGTGCATGCGCACCTCATCTCCAACATGTTGTCTTCAACCCAGCTCGCGACTACTATACATGGCGGTGCATTTGGCCAAAATTTTGGCAGAAAATCTTCGGTGTTGAACTCAACTTGTTATCCCTCTTTCTAGATTTGTCCCGGCCTTTGTGATGAGAGTTTGGTTCACTTTTTCTCACTTTTTTGGGAAATTTTTTGTTGTCTTGACTGTTTTCTCTCTCTTATGTGGAATCATGTCCTGTTGGTGCTACTAAGTCTAATCCTTCCATCTTACCAACTATATATCTCATTTGTGACAATCAAACTGCCTTATATATCCGTCTCAAATCCAGTATTTCAAGAGATGACCAAACATATTGATGTGGACATAAAAACCCAAGGCCATGAGAAGAAAGATGAAGATCTAATTGAAGACTTAATTAGACCAATGACTAGAGGAAGGATTAGAAAGACTCAAGAAGCTTTACAAGTGATGGTGACTCTTTTATGGGATATCCAATAGTCAAAGACTCAAGAGGCTAAACTGGTTACATGTATAGTGGGCTTGGAGAGTTAAAATAAAATTAATTTATTTTTACTTTGGTGGAGTTGGGATTTGAACCCAAGACCATTAGTTTAATATTTGATTAGTTTTAATTCTTTTGAGTTTCTTTTTATTATACACAAAGTCAAGCCCATGAAAATCCTAAACCCTAATTTTGTGTGTTTATGATTGTTGAATTGAGAAAAGAGAGAACGGATGTTTTTTGCCAAAGTGAGAATATTTTTCTGCTAGGGTTCTTCCTTGCATATTTGATCTTATCAAGAATATCAAACTTTGTTTGTGGCGCCTTTTTTTATTCAGGTTTTCTTTATTTTGTTCTCAATTCCTAATTTTCTGTTCTTAATTGATTCCCACCCTAAATCTTTTATGTCAATTCTATTTGGGATCTTATCACATATTGACATATATTGTCATTTCACACAAGATAAGCTTGTATCTATAGATATTGCCATTCAGTTTGTTAACTGACAGATGTTTTCACCAAATCATTGTGGGGTCATAGAATTGAGTATATTTGTGACAAACTTGATGTGAATGATTTATATGCATAGCTTGAGGGGGAGTGTTAGAAGTAACTAAATATATGGACCATGATATATTTGGTGCATATAATTTATATGCATCTCTTTGTACCATGTTAGAAGTAACATAGGGATTTTATTTACATGATTCTCTTCGTTTATATATGCTACTAACAGCCTATTTAATCTGATTGTCATAGCCTACGAGGGAAACAAGTATATGAGGTTTCACAAGATCTTGTTGGTAATGTACAACATGTTTTGGTTGTTCGTAGTCCTACAAGATCCAACAATAAGGTAAATGTTATTTTTTTTTTCTGTTATCCAAAAAACCAGTGATGGGAGCTTTCTGTTCCTTCCATAGGGTTTCAATTTCTACTAATAGAAATCAGTAAATAATTGGTTGTAGGTTGTGGAGGACACAAATGCACTAATTATACGTTGTGAATCTGAGGATTCAAAAAAAACATGGCACAGTCGCATACAAGGGGCTATTTATCATGCATCAGTTTGTTTTCTTCTTCCCTCTCTCTTGCTCTGACTGTGCGTCTGAATGGTTTTTTACTTTTTGTAATCCTAATGTAATTTTAACAAATGGCAAATGTCTGTGTCTGAGTATGGTAAATTTGTTTTCCCATTTGTTGCAGTTTGCACTGATAGTACAGTGGACATTTAGAACATTCTAAACAGTGGAGATACTTTCTTTTAATTAGAATTTATTTTTAGAAATAAAACTTCTATGCATTGAGAAGTTGCATGAGCTTACTACTATATAAGGAAAATGATAGATATATTAGAAAAGAAGAAAACAGAATTTATTTGTTGACTGAGTCTATCTTTAATGTGATTGAGGTATCACAATATCAATTTTGTGGAATATTGTTAGTACTTAAGCATAAGAGGAGAGTCCATGTCAAAAGACTTATATATTAGGTGGGAGAACCTCAAATTTTAAGTACCACATAAAGTAGCTCATCGTACTCAATGTAGCTTGTCACCCTCTTTTAGGGCTAAAAGCCATGGCGGCTTTCACTCTATATAGGCAACTCTGAATGTATGAACCAATTGTTAAGACTTAAGCACAAGAGAGTCCAACCCAAGAGACTAGCCTATTAGTTGGACTATACCACATCAAAAAGCTCATTCTACTTATGTGAAACTCTAACATTTGACAAGGATTGTAAAATCCTAAAAAACTTATGAAACCTGTATATATAATATATGCAAGTACAATAGCACAAAAACTAACAAGTTACCTTAAAATCACACTTAAAATGCTTAATTAAACTTATGTTCATACGTATTAAGTAGAAAAAATCATTTATTGATTGTAAAGTGAATGAGTACATGAGCTGAAAACATGACCAGAGAGTAGACCTTTAAACCAGTTAGTTGTATAACCGAAATAATACACTAACAGAAAGATAAAGAGAAAACTGTAAAGAGAAATATCCTGAACAATAAACATAGAAAAGGAAGCATGTCAGCCAAATGAAAAAAAAAAAAAAAACCTAGCACCCCAAAGAAAAATGCAACACCTAAGGCTTGAACCTGTGCAAACCACTGAAACAGAAATAGCAACCCTTTTGGTGCAGCCTTGAGCATGATGGAGATGATGGCCTCAAGTGTGTGAGTGTGTCAGAGAATTCTCTTACCAATGGTGATTTTCATGGCTTCGTGCAACAGAGAGAGAACCGAGAAGAAGGTCTTTTAAGTGAGTTGTTAGGTTTTGATGGTATGCATCTAGTGGAACAAGAGTAGGTGAAGAGAATCGGCTTGGGTTTTTACCAGAAAGTTCAACATTTTTCTTTAATGGAGTTTGAATCTGACCTAAAAAACCAATGCTTAGAATATGCTCGCTCCCAATTTTTTGAAAATTGAGCATGGCAAATTTTACAATTGAGGAGAAATTTGATTCTGCTTGTGAGCTAACTCACATTGGGGGCTGTAAAATTTCAAAATTGGACAATTTGACTCACGATTTTGACTACATTGTCCCATCTATTTAGAGGCAACAGGCCTTATTTTTTTCTTGCAACTATCTCAGCCTAATGAGCTAACTAACTTAATGTAGCCATGCCAGCCTAATGAACTAACTGACAAGGTCCTACACATATCTATCAGCAAAAAAATTGTGTTTACTTCTTAAAGTAGTCCTTGATTTACTTGCAAATTAGCTTTAAATTCTTTTCCCATTTGATTGGTTGTTTTTGGATTAAGATGTGTAGCTTTTATTTTCTTGGATAAAAGGTTGCATAATTTTTAAGTGGGCATTTGGCAACTGATTAATTATGGGAAATAGTTGTTTTCCCCTCTAACTCTTCGGAAACTGCAAAAATAAAAGGACTTATTTCTGCAAAATAAACAAGTCAACAGCATTGTTTGATTGAGTTTATCTAGTGGATGATGGTGTTAAAGTGTTTGAATTTTGAAAGTTGATATTTAGGCTTTATTTGTGCAGAATACAGCTCCAATTTCTGGACTATCTGAAACCTCATCAGATCAGGAGGATACTGAATCTGAACATGATATTGATGTAGGGATTGCTGAAAGTTTGTTTGTAACAGGTGTTCTTGATGAGTTAAAGATTTGCTTCAGTTATAGTTATCAGGTTAGTTTGTTACTTTTTATTGTACTAGTTTCAAATTTGAATTTCCACATGAACTAAAAATGTGTTTTGGTATAGTCGGATCAGAGCTTAATGAAAGTTCTCTTAAATGAAGAAAATCAATTGTTTGAATTTCGGGCAATAGGCGGTCAGGTAAATATCTGCTTCATTGTTTACTTTTCTGGATGCTTTGATCTCCTTTTTTGAGGCAATTATATTCAAACAGGTGGAAGTTTCTATCAGAGACAATAACATTTTTGTTGGCACTATCTTGAAGTCTTTGGAAATAGAAGATTTAGTTTGCTATAGTCAACAATTGTCCCAGCCTTGTTTTTTGGCAAGATCTTATATTGGGACTGCGGCTGAAAATTCATTACTTTACAATACCGTGAGAGAAGATGTTGAAAGTGGTGGATTCATTCCTACTGAAACTGATGATAAGTTTTATGAGGCACCTGAGACTTTAGCAGAAAGTGCTGAGTATCCTATGCAGTCTCCTGGAGGTACATCAGAATACCGAACTAGTTCGGCCAGTGACATCCAATTAAATAATTCATCTCTGAAACCCCCAAAGTTTAGTCGCATTACTGGACTTCTACCTTGTGACTCTTCTTCTAGTAGGAAGGAGCTACAACTCCATGACACATTGGAGAGTTTTGTCAAAGCTCAAATAATTATCTATGACCAGAATTCTTCTCAGTATAAGAATATAGACAAGCAGGTGGGTGTTGATGGGTTTTAACAAATTGCCTTTAGTTTGTATGATTTTTTCACTAAATATTTTTATTGGTCATTTTAGGTGATAGTTACTCTGGCTACGTTGACATTTTTCTGTCGAAGACCAACAATCCTTGCCATTATGGAATTTATTAATTCCGTGAGTATTGAGGATGAGAGCCTTGCAACTTCTAGTGGTATCCCTTCAACAGCCAGAATTAAAAATGATGTTTCAGGAGATGTAGATGATGTACAATCTACTGGTGTTGAGGATCATGCTGTTAAGGGCTTGTTTGGAAAAGGTAAATCCAGAGTTATGTTCAATCTGACATTAAAAATGGCACAGGCTCAAATCCTTTTGATGAAGGAAAATGAAACCACACTTGCTTGTTTGTCTCAAGAGAGTTTGCTTACAGAAATCAAGGTGTTCCCTTCCTCCTTTAGTATTAAAGCAGCATTGGGGAATCTAAAAATCAGTGATAATAGCCTACATAGCAGTCATTTATATTACTGGGCATGTGATATGAGAAATCCCGGGGGCAGATCTTTTGTGGAGGTACCTCTTTCTCCTAGTTTCCAATGTTTCATTTTAAAATTGACCCACAAATTAAGTGTCATTGTTTACTGTACGTTGTTTCCTTTGGTTAAAAGGGGATGCTCAGAATTTTAAAGGAAGTTTTTTCTTATTCTTGACCTACTAAAGATTGTTCACTTGGTTCTTTCTTTTGTGTTCACCACATGGATGATTCTTGAATGTTCTCGGCTTTATTCTGGGAATGATGATTCTCACCGCCATTCAGGTTCTATCAGTTTGGGATATATTTTGATCTCTTGGGGAACACTTATATTCTTCAACCTTCAATTAACATTTTGTGAATGGATTTTGAAGAATTATTCAACATTTTAGGCCTGCTTGGTATGCAAATGGATTGGCCTGCTTGGTTGCATTTTTAGGCCTTTGAGGCTCATTTTTATACTTTTTTATGTTTAAGACATCTTAGTTTCTTGGCTTGTAATCTTACCTCGCTTTGATAATTTTCATATTTTTCACTTTTTTTTTTCTTCAAACAATGTTTCTTTGTTTCCTAAAGGTGTGAAATAGGTTATCAGTATTTTGTTTGATTTGCTATGTATTTCTTTTAGATTTGTTGTTACTAGGCAATACTAATTTATGTATTTAATTAGGAAATCTTACAACGTGACTCATTCTTTTTTTTTTTTTTTTTTTTTTTTTTACTAATGGACATAAAAGGGAAAAAAATGGGAACCGATACTTTATAAGCTTCTGTGTTTGGTTTTGGTATAGTGAGCTTATTATTGATGAATATCTGATTGATCATGTAGTTGGAGTTCACATCATTTAGCAACGATGATGAAGACTATGAAGGTTATGATTTCAGTCTTTTTGGAGAACTTTCAGAAGTGCGCATTGTGTATCTGAATCGATTTGTGCAGGAGGTATTTAACAGTTTGTTTTGTTCAGCTATGCGTTTTTATCCATATCAATTGTATAGATTTATCAAGTCTAAATATGCAGGTTATTGGCTACTTCATGGGTCTTGTTCCAGACAGCCCAAAGAGTGTTGTTAAAGTAACAGATCAAGTCACAAATTCAGAGAAGTGGTTTTCAGCTAGCGAGATTGAAGGATCACCGGCTGTGAAGTTTGATCTTTCTCTCAAGAAGCCTATAATATTAATGCCACGGAGGACAGATAGCCTTGAGTAAGCTGAAGATTTTAGTTTTCTTTTTCAGTTATAACTTGTGTAAATAATTGGTTTCATATATATTTAATATCAGGCATAATGTGCTGTATAGTTGCTGTTAATGGGACACTAAATCTAACAACTTAAGCTGCCAAGTAATGGCTCAAGTGCGGTTTTCATTCCTTTAATATCAGTGATTGATGTTTCTTTGATGCAGTTTTCTGAAGCTTGATATTGTTCATATAACTGTGAAGAACACATTTCAGTGGATTGGTGGAAGTAAAACTGAGATTAATGCAGTGCACTTGGAAACATTGACTGTCCAGGTGAGATTGGTTGCTCATAGTACGATTGATTTGCGGGCTGTAGAAACTTTGTTACAAAGATTCTTCAAGTGTTCCCTGGCTTATCTACTCACTTTGAGTGATATTTATTTTGGGCTTATTGTGTACTACATTTTAAACCATTTTGTTTTAACACGATGGGTGTAGGTTGAAGAAATCAACTTGAACGTTGGAACTGGATCAGACATAGGTGAAAGCATAATTCAGGATGTGAATGGGCTATCTGTGATTATTCACCGGTCACTTCGAGACTTATTACATCAATTTCCAAGTATTGAAGTTATAGTCAAGGTAGTATATCATTTTCTTGCATAATGTTTCCTGAAAGTTGGATTGTCTCACTTAAAAAAATTATTATTCATTTACTTTCAACTGTTAGTAAATTGGTTATTTCTTGATTTAATCCTATACCTACATGATCTTTACTTTTAGTCCATACACGTAACATTACTTATTTCAGTACATACACCTTTTAATTGATTTTAGTTCCTGTCATCTAAAAGTGTAGGGACTAGAATAGATTCAAAAGTGTACGTGTATGAATTGAAGGAGTTAAAAAAAATTATTTGTAGGGCAGGGACTAAAATGAGTTGTTTTTAAAGTCCCTATACTTACACAACCTTTATGCGTTAGTGCAGACACTTCTTAATCCATATTTTTCCCTGTCATCTAAAATTGTAGGGACTAAAATAAAATTAAAAGTGTGTATGGATTGAGTTAAAAATTATATGCAGGATCTAAAATGAATTAAAAATATATTTATAGGGACTAAAATGAGTTGCTTTTAAACGTAAGGATTTTGCAAATATAGCCAAATGACTAATTAAACCTTATTTCTATTAGCATGCCATATTTAAATCTGTCTGGTATTGGATGTTGTGCTTCTACAGATTGAAGAGTTGAAGGCAGAAATGTCAAATAAAGAATATGAAATCATTACTGAGTGTGCTGTCTCTAACTTTTCTGAGGTCCCACATATTCCTACACCGTTGAATCAATATTCCTCCATGACATTAAATGATGCAACAGGAGATGTTGCCCCTGAGGTTACTAATGGTGATTCAGGGACCACAAATGTTGAAGCCTCTGTCCTTCTGAAAGTCTGTGTGTCTATAAATCTTGTTGAGTTGAGCTTATTTACGGGTTTAACTAGAGATTCATCTCTTGCTACTGTACAGGTACTAATACAGTATGTGTTTGTAAATTAGCTTTAGGTTATGTTAAATAGTCAAGAAAAGAGAAAAGCAGGAGAGCTAAAAGTATATGTGTTTGTTTATTAGCTTAAGGGAATTATTTTCTTATAATATTTGATTAAATTAGGATAAACCAGGGTTGAAAACAAAATACATTTAAATAAGGTCAATCAAATAAATGACAAATTTATTTTGCATGGCTCAGTTGTGGTTCTGTCCTGTGCAGGTCAGCAGTGCATGGCTGCTGTATAAGTCCAGTACAGCAGGAAATGGATTCCTCTCTGCAACACTGCAAGGTTTCAGTGTGTTTGATGATCGTGAGGGAGTTGAACAAGAATTTCGGTTAGCAATAGGAAAGCCTGAGGATGTAGGACCCAATCCTATAAATACTTCTTCATATGATCAAAACAAGGACTCAGTTGATAGTAGCTTAATCAAGGGAAATGATTTCGATCTAGTTCAGACAATGCTCATTGTTGATGTAAAATTTGGTCAGGATTCGACATTTGTTTCTTTGGGTGTCCAGAGGCCTCAGTTGCTTGTTGCACTAGATTTTCTTCTTGCTGTAGTTGAGTTTTTCGTTCCAACAGTCAGCAGTATGCTATCAGTTGAAGAACCTAGGTCTGACATGCTCGAAGCTATCATCATCGATCAATCAGTCTACAAGCAACCTTGTGCTGAATTTTCCTTGTCACCTAAAAAGCCTTTAATAGTTGATGATGATAGTTTTGATCACTTTATTTACGATGGTGATGGTGGAATATTATATTTAAAGGATAGACAAGGTTTTAATCTTGCAGCAGCTAGCCCAGAGGCTATAATATACATTGGAGAAGGGAAGAGGTTGCAGTTCAAAAATGTTGTTATTAAGGTCATAGTCTCTCACTTTATCAACTTCTTAATCGAAATGCTTTAAAATATAATTTTTTTGTGGATGCCAAAAAAACTAATTACCTTGTTTTTATTTTGTCAGGGTGGAAAGCATTTGGATTCTTGTGTATTTCTTGGAGCAAACAGTAGCTATTCAGCTTTAGAGTCTGATCACGTTTACTTGGAAGAATTAGTTGAAAGTCCTCAGTCTAGGTCTGTGAGAGGAAGTGACGAAGTACCATGTCAGAATAATGCTGTTAACAACTCCACAGAACTGATCATTGAGCTTCAGGTTAAATGTTTCTTCAATTTACTACTCATGGATTTGTGTATGATTGATTCTGAATGTAAGCATACTTTAATTGTAGTTTCCTGGGCCTGGAAGTTTCATTGCTAGCTAAGCAAATGCAAATATTGTTGCCTGTGGCTTAGAACAAAGTTTAATTATAATACCCAAGGTCAATATTTTCAGGGGGGACTTCGACATGCTACTCAAATTATATTTCAAACACTAAAGAACATAGAACATGCTCAGGGACAGCATATCTCATCCTTTTCCTTATTTGTGTTACTTCTTTCTCTTTTTAAATAAATATTTAGAGAAATGCTACCATAAACCTCATTTCTTCGCTGAGTTTATTGGATTTCATACAAAATTGTGTCCTTATTTAATGAGTTTCACTTGGTTTTATCCTCCATTAAAATTTTCCTAATAACGGAGTGTTTTGGATAATGTGTTGCTAGCTTGCCTCAAATTTATATAATTTCTATACCATCAGAAAAGGAAACGAACCAAAGAAGCAAAGTTGGAAATAAGAGTGATATATGTTTTCTAACATGTCTTCCTTCTTCAAATGGCATTTGAACTCAACCTTTTGCTTCAAGTGGCTAGATGCCATGTCAATAAAATGCAATCTATAAACCTAAAAATATAAGTTTTTTTGTCCAGTTTGTTTTTCAAAAATTCAGTTGCATGTGAATAGTTATTTTCTTGACTCATTAAAAATACTTATTATGGTTGGGTTAAGACTTAACTGGGATCTAATCTGTTATCTCTGACTTAAAGATTCTAATTTGTTAAGATGTTCCACACTGGCTTGGATAGCCAGAATGCTCCTTAAAAGACATGGGCAATCCTATCTCCTTGAGTTTTGGGAGTTAATTAGAATTAGTCCATTTCTAATATGGTATTAGAGCCTATTAAGTCTTAGTGGTCACCCATAGATATATAGTTCTGTGAATTTCATGCTCTGCAGGTGTTTTGCCTTTTGCATAAAGGGAGTGCGTTAAGATGTTCCACATTGACAATAAATATGGGCATAATGCTGCTTATAATACTTGGGCAATCCTCCTCCCTTTCGCTAGCTTTTTGTTTGTGAGTGAGTTGGGTCCGGTTTGTTCCTAATAATAAACCCATAATGTTGTGTTTTTAATCCATGTTGCCTACCCAACTAGAGGAAAGGCTTCGTTGTTGCCGTTGTATGTGTTTTGACTTTATTTAATCATTATGCCATATTCATATAAACATGCAATGAAGATTGTATTATGACAGTAAGTGATGGTATGGTTTATACCTTTGTTATTAATGTCTTTGCTTTATGCATGTCTTAATATATGATGAAATATCTCCTTGCAGGCTGTTGGCCCTGAGCTTACCTTTTATAACACCTCAAAAGATGTAGGAGAGTTATTAAACCTATCTAATAAACTTCTACTTGCACAGTTGGATGCATTTTGCAGGTGAGTTCCTCTTCTAAATTATATGCTTCCATTTTAATCAGTTTGCCATACTGTCTATTTTTTTAGATTCTTAATGCTACTTTATTTGTTCTTAGTGCTAGAGATATAAAATCATTCCTGAACCTCTACCTACCTAATAGATTAGTATGTAGGGAGGGCTGATCATTTGTCACAGAATTCAAGCCTATCTGAGTGATATGAAAACCTGTTTAGGAGACCGACCTAAATTTTAATAATGAAGGTAAAGTTCAGTATAATGTAGGGTGGGCTTGTGCCTTGTCCATGTTTTAAGTCCCAAGAGGGTGTCTTGGAAAATTTGTAAAGAATAAAATGAATAAGAAAATGATCAAATTGAGAATTCAAATGGATATAAGGACATCACAATTATTCAAATAGTCATCAAAGACTAAGCCTCAATCCTAGGAAGGAGGACAAACACATAGACATGATAGAGGTCCAAATGAAAAAAAAAGAAAAAAATGAAACCAATATAGAATCTAGAGGGAGAGAGTCACAATCTTCAATCCGAAGCCTCCCATGGAAGTTTGGGGATGGCCACAATGGTGTGGGAAGGTGTTGAAAGGTCAATTGAGCATCAAGGGTGCACCCATGACTCCATCACTGTGGCTCACTTTGGTGAAGAAGGAGGAGGTGTTTTGTGCTCCTATGCAGGTGTGGGGACCTCTGTTGGGACCATCTTCTTCAAATCCTTCATCACATAAATACTAAGATCAAAGACAAATCTTCTTACGCGCTAGGGAAAATCATCAAGTCCTTTAAATTTATATTTTTATATATACTAGCATCTGATAGTAGAATAGACCTGCAAGTAGCTTAGAGCTACTACATAGTTAGTTATGAGAGTTGTGGATCTTGCAACAACTGTGAGTTAGTTAGATCTACTCTAAATTCCTCACTGTAATAACAAATTAAGGTCATGAAATCCTTGTTTCAATTCTCTTTATAAACACTGAATTTCTACGTGTTGAAAGATATAATGTCTAATTATGACCCAAATTTTATCTTTTAAGTATGAATTTTGTGCCAGAGGCCTATTTTAATGATTCACTCTATTTTAGGTATAATGATAATATGGGATTAACTGACTTTCCTGTGTTCTTCCATTGGTAGGCTTGTTTTGAAGGGTAACAATACTGAGATGAGTGCAGATGTACTTGGTTTGACTATGGAGAGTAATGGAATCAAGATTCTAGAGCCATTTGATACATCCTTGAAGTACTCAAATGCTTCGGGGAGGACCAATATACATTTATCTGTTTCCGATATTTTCATGAATTTCACTTTCAGTATCTTGAGACTATTTATGGCTGTGGAAGATGATATTTTAGCATTTTTAAGGATGACATCAAAGAAAATGACAGTTGTTTGCTCCCACTTTGACAAAGTTGGAACAATAAAAGGTATGTTTATCCTCCTCTATTTGTTTTCCATTTTGGTGACAAATGTGGTTTGGAGGCTTGATCATGTTTCATTTCACATTGTTGAGTCTGTTACACTTTGTTGAGTTTGTTTCATTTTGTTGAGTTTCTTGTAGGTTCTGTCTAGTTTGATTATGTGTTAGTTATTATCTTATCTTTCTCTTATATGCTACTTTAAAATGCCCATTTGAAGGGTTGGAACTATTCAATAAAGTATTCACTCATCAATTTGTGTATATATACTTTTATATCTTCACAAATTTGGAGTACAAATTGGCATCCGAGGTGCAACAAAATGAGTTGGAGGATATGATGACTCAAGGTTAAGAATTATCTGTTTCAAACCATTGACAAAATATCTTAAACAAATTCTTGAGAAATGCAGATCGAAGTAGATACGAGATTCAGTGAAGAAAAAGTTTGCAAGGGAATGGAAGAGCGTTCGGTCTTACAAGCATTGAGTAGTGATTTTGATGTTTTAGAAGTGAAAGTAGGTGAAATCATAACTAAATATGTGCATAGTGATCAGGATGAGGATCAATGGAGAAAATATGAAAGAAGTCACCACCATCGAAAAAATCAGTAGAACTTTAACCAAGAAATTTGATTATGTTGTTGTATCAATTGAAATCTAAGGATGTCCATGGGCAAAAGTTTATCAAACCAAGTGGAGAAGAACAGGCATTGAAGGTGAAAGTTTAGATAATTCTTTCGGCACAAGGGGAAGAGACAGAGGAAGAAGACACATGAGAGGGAGAGGAAGACAGTTTCAATTAAGCCATGATTGAATGTTTCTAATGCCACAAGCTAGGCCACTATCAGAATGATTGCCTTTCATTGAACAAGGAGATGAATTATGTAGAATTTGATGAAGAAGAAATATTGCTCGTGTTGAACTTCCTTAACATGATACAAGGAAAGAGGAAGCATGGTTTCTAGATTTAGGATGCTCAAATAACATATCTGGGGATAAATCAAAATTCAATGAGATGGATGAATTGTTAGGCATGTAGTAAAGCTTGGAACCAACATAATGATGACTTCCCTTGGCAAGGGAAATCTGAAACTTAATATAAATAGTCACTTATGTGATACAAGATGCCTTCTATGTACCTAGTATCAAGAATAATCTCTTCAGTATAGGCCAACTACTAAAGAAAGGGTTAACCATCATGTTTGAAGTCAAGAATGTGTAGTATATATCATCCTCACAAAGGGCTTATCTTACAAACTAATATGACTTCAAGTAGGATGTTTGTATTGCATGTGAGGATTTAAAAAAAAAAAAAATATGCTGCAACACCACAACACAAGAACTTCCTAACTTGTGGTGTTTTAGATACGCTCATCTTAGGTACCAAAGTTTACAATTACTCGAACTAGTAAGATGGTTCATGGTTTGCCTTTATTTCACACCTCTATAATTAAGTCTACTGATTGTGTGAAAGGCAAGCAACACCGAGGACCAATTTCTAGGAAAAGTCAGGAGAGAGAAAGCCAAATATTGTAGTTGGTTCTTGTAGACATTAGTGATCCCATTACACCAACATAATAGCTAAAAAAGGTACATCTTATATTTTATAGATGATTATTCTAGAAAAGCATGGGTATATTTCTTATTTGAAAATCAAAAGCATTCCATCACTTCAAGTATTTAAAATGCTTGTTGAGAAAGAACTGAACTACCTATTAAATATCTACATACATAGACATGGGAGGAGAATTCAATTCGGTGGACTTCTTTGATTTTTGTATGTTGAATGGTATAGAAAGGTAGTACAAAACTATAATGAACATAGTGAGATCAATGTTGTTTGAAAGAGGGGTTCCAAAAACCTTTTGGCCTGAAGTTGTGGAGTGGACAAAATATGTTCTAAGTCGGTCTCCTACATTGGTCGTTAAAGGGATGACACAATGGTGAGAAATCTTTAGTTCAGCATGTTAGAGTATTTGGATGTATAGGCATGAACATATTCTGTATTCTAGGATGACAAAATTCGAAAACAAGAGTGTTAGAAGCATTATTTTTGGTGTTAGTGATGAATCTAATCGATACAAGATATATGATCCAACCTCAAAAAAACTTCTAAGAAGCCAAAGAAAATAATGGGATTAGGATGCAACCAACAAAGAAGAATTACAAGTGAACTTAGAATGAGGGAACAACGAGTTTGATGAATATGAGTCAACAATGACAAGAAAGAAAAAGGTGAAACTCACGAGAATGTTATAAATGAAAAAGGCAGAGTGAAACGTGCTCCGTGGTGGATGGAAGATTATGTGTTAGGGGTGATGGAAGATTATGTGTCAGGTGAAGGATTGTCAGAAGAAGATATTGTGCATATGGCTTTGGTAGATTTTACATGTCGAATATGTTTTCAAGAGACAGTAAAAATTGCTAAATGGAGGCAGGTCATGGAGGATGAGATCACAATTATAGAGAATGACCATAGTTGGAAATTGATTGAGTTACCAAATGGTGCAATGAAGATTGGGGTGAAATGGATATATGAATCTAAATTAAATGAACATGGGGAAGTGGATAAATTTAAAGCACGACCGGTGGCTATTAACAAAAACATGGAATTGACTACAATGAAGTTTTTGCACTTGAAGCTAGGATAAATATTGTTAGAATGGTAATACCACTTCCTACACAACAAGGGTGAAAGATTTTTCAATTTGATCTCAAATCTGTCTTTCTACATGTCAGCATGAGTGAGATTTGCATATGGTTTATAAACTTCACAAGGTTTAGTATGGTTTAAAACAAGCCTTACAATCTTGGTTTAGCTGCATTGAGTCTTACATTGTTGGTGAAGGTTTTCAACAAAGTCAGAATGAGCAAACACTCATTTTCAAATGGAGCAAGGTAAAATTATTATTATTGATGTTTACATAAATGATCTCATATACATCAAAAATGATGAGCTCGTGATGAATAATGTTAAGACTATGCAAAAGGAGTTTTATATGAAAAATTTGGGTAAGATCAGACTTTTTCCTTATGGAATTGAAGTGTTGTAGAGTTCAGATGGGATTTACATATGCCAAAAGAAATTAGCTCAAGAAATTCTAAGGCAATTTGGCATGAAAGAAAGTAATTAAGTATCCAATCTTATTGTATCATGTAATAAGTTATGTAAAGGTGAAGGAGTCAAGATGGATGAAACTCCTTTCAATTAAATGGTTGGTAGTCTAATGTACATCACAACTAGACAGCCATATTTGATGTTTGTAGTTTGCTTGATTGGTAGCTACATGTCTCAACGAACAAAAATGCATGTCAGAGTGGCTATGAAAATTCTCTTGTATTTGAAGGGTTCTGAGAATCATGAGATTCTATATAAAAGAGGAGAAACTAAGGAGTTACTAACTTTTATTGATAGTGATTATGCTGGAGATGTGGACGATAGAAAAAGTACATTAGGGTATATGTTTTTAATAAGTAAAGTTTTTGTTGCTTGATCTTCTAAAAAGCAACCAATTGTTACTCTCTTCATAACAAAAACTGAGTTCATTGCAACAGCTCAATGTGCCTGTCAAACAATTTGGATGAGAAGGG